ATGCTTTGCCACATGAAGTTTGGTCTGTTCTATTTCTTTGGGGCGTTTGTGTTGGTTATGACGATTTTCATCTCCTTATTATTGCCTGAGACAAAGAATGTCCCAATTGAGGAAATGAACAGTGTGTGGAAGGCACATTGGTTCTGGGGGAAGTTCATACCAGATGATGCAGTGATTGGTCATCATGGCAATGTGGAGCTCTATGGCAAGGGTGTCTAGATTACAACCTAGGCTTCGACAATAATCAGCTTTGTTCTTTCTTTTCTGTTTGGAACTCATATTTTTGGTAGATTTTAAGAGGTTTTCAATAAGGAGAGTAGAGGAGAGGATGGAGTTTGTTCCAATTTTGATTCTCAATGAAAATTAACTCAAACTCACAATTTTGATAAACTACTTCTAAAGTGCTAAATAAGCTCAATGCTTCTTGAGTAACTAGTTTAACCAAAAGTCATAAGCACTTTAGAACGAAGAAAAAAAATTAAAAATAAAAATAAGCTTCGTGATGATACCCAATACCAAACATAGTACCCAATCAATCACTTGAGTAAAAAGCATGAAAAATTCCAAAACTAAAAACAATCCCAAACATAACTCAGCTACAGTAGTCTACTTTTGTTTACTCCATTTCAGTTTTCTTCTTTCTAAAGCTCACACAAAATTTTCTAGGGAACCAAATAGAACAGAGCAGAGAAAACAAAAGAATCTCAGAATAAAAAAGCACCAACATAGAGTAAAATGCAACAATGATGAAATTAAGCCCAAAAAGAAAGCCCCCAACTCCAGCAAGCAAGAACAACAACAGAGAAAATGAAAGCAAACAATAAATAAATAAATAACACTTACAAATTGTAAGACCCTTTGAAGAGAAAGAGAAAGAGAAATAATTTGTTTACGTTTCGTCCTCTGATCCTGTTTTTATAGACTGTGGCGTGAAGGTATGGGATATGGGATTTTTTTTTCTCTCTTTTTTTTGGTTATGGGAGGTCAATCTCTGGTCTTCTCCAAAGAGAGTAGCCTGTTGATGTGGGACTGTGGCATCTCTGCTTTTTCACTTTTTTTTCCGCACAAGTTTTGATTCTTTCTTCTAAAATATTAGGATTTAGGTGTTTTCTTTTTCTAAAAGTTGTTATTTTAGAATTATGATTTAGGAGTTGGGATTTCTTGGAGCCGAAGACTCAGACGAAGACTCAGACTCACTGAAGTTGATGGATTCTGATTTTGATTCTCTTTCTGAATTATGACAAGGTTGGCTTCTCGGTAATTTCCATACCATTGGTTTTCTCCCAAAAAGAAAAAAGGAAAAAAAGTCATACATACAATTTTTACCATAAATCTTAACGAATAAGTTTCCAATTAAAATGTTGAAAATCATGAAAATTAATTAAAGTTAAGTTTGAATTAGTAAATAATTGACCATTTAAAATCATCGTATCTAACGATATAATTGACATTTATATTGAAAAATCAATGTTGATGGACATTTTGAAAAAATTCRTGGAAAACATGAAAATATGGGTAAAAATAAGAGATATTTTACAAAATAACATTTTGTATTTTCAAATATATGGTAAAGTTTGAAATTTTAAAAACAACATAATCATATCATTTAATTAAAATATATGAATAAAATAAAAATGAAAAAGTAAAGAAAATATAAATCATATAATATTATAATTTATAATATATTAGGGCTCTTAACTTTCATGGTTGACCTATGGTCAATGAGGGTCAAGGTAAATAATATGATTCAAACTATTTAATTAAAATTCTCACCCCCTACTTGTGTGCACCTCTACGTGTACCTGCACCAACATGCCCACCAAGCTTGAGTGTTATCAATCATTTTAAAGATTATACACCAACAGGGTAGGATAAAGTGATGTCCATAAGAGAAGGTATAATAGCCCATAGAATCTTGGTTTGAGTTCAAAAAACTTGTAAAGAAAAGGTTTGTGCCACCACATTAAGTAGAGTTAATTCAAGAGAACTTAGCAAGCTCTATTTAAGGCACTAAGAGAGTTAATACTATTACAAAGAGATGAACATTGTTGCGTTCCCACAATCTAGGTGAATACAACTGCAAGTGTACACTATATTCTTGTCGATTGTAGTATAAATAAGGTCGAATCCACAGGGACTAAGATATTACTCTAATCGTGCACTTAAGAGTACCCAAAAATGCAAATAAAAGTAATCAATGGTTGTATAACTAGAACTAAGTAAAATATACTATAAAACACAAAGAGATATTCCAAGAGAGAAATATTGTATTTATAAATTCTAGGGCAAAGAAATGTTATAGCAAAAGGAATAGAACGAGAAAATAGTTAATGAGATGGAAACGGAAGAGATCGTGGCATGCATTCACTCACTCACAGAAGATGCTCTAGCATAAAATCGCTACTGATGCTGAAACCGACGTGGTTCCTTTCCAAGAAACCCAAATATGAATATCTACAATTTCCGTTGCTAAATACCCAAACATAAAAAACATTTTATAAGCATGGTTACGCGGACCTTATCCCTAAGCATCCACAAATCTATCATAAAAGAGTAGCTAACCACAAAAAGAGCCAAACATACGACTTGTATACCCTTCCGAGTCTGATAAATGTGGACAGCATAGATGAGTAAGATGAAAATATTATATCAATTCTATTTAACAGCAGTAAAAACATGCTAGAAAGCCTCTGTTCACAAGCTACAGCAAATACACTCTCCAAAAATGGGGTTTAGTTCATGGGGAATGAGACCACGATGATTATGTGAAGGACTTAACCCAGATATAGCCGACAAGATAGACTTGCTAACATTATGGATATGATGGAACTTCTACACCTTACCATCAAAATTGAGGAGCAAAATGAATGCAAGGCTAAAAGGTATCCTAAATCTACTTCTAAGCATAAATTGTAGCAAAATTGAGAGTAAATTACTCTTAGAGTCGAAACATAAATTGTGTTAGAGAAGGGGAGTCATCCAAGTCTAATTAAACCCACCCTAACCAGACAAGTAGGAGAGAGACTGACCAAAGGGTCATGAGTTTGAATTTCCTACACCCACATTAAAAGGTTATATATATATATATATATATATATTTGCTCTCAATTTTTTTTTTCTTTTTTTACTACAATGTTGGGGGGATTCGAACTTAAACCTTTTGGTTGGAAATATATATCAATTACCACTAAGCTATTTTCACTTTCACGTTTAAGGACCTATTAAAACCAAGCTATTTGACCCATTTTAAAATTTATAGATACATATGTTAGATGCAATTTGGAAAGCTAATGTCATCTTCCATGTCGATAAATTCATAGAACAATAGTACAAATTCTCGTTCATCCACCTTCTTTCATGTAAAACTCTCATCTATTAAATTCTCAAATAGGGTAAGGCCGATTCACAAATAGTTCAGGATGGTCCAAGACGATCCATGATGACACAAATAAATTGTTGATGACAAAAAATCCTCTTAAAATCTACCAAAAATCTGAGTTCCAAAAAAGAAAGAAMGAAGAAAGAAGAAAGCTGATTATTGTTGCAGCTAGGTTTGTAATCTAGACACTCTTGCCATAGAGCTCCACATTGCCATGATGACCAATCACTGCATCATCTGGTATGAACTTCCCCCAGAACCAATGTGCCTTCCACACACTGTTCATTTCCTCAATTGGGACATTCTTTGTCTCAGGCAATAATAAGGAGATGAAAATCGTCATAACCAACACAAACGCCCCAAAGAAATAGAACAGACCAAACTTCATGTGGCAAAGCATSGACAAGAATAGTTGACCGATGATGAACGTCATCAACATGTTCACCGACACATTTATCGCTTGCCCCGCTGACCTGATCTCCAACGGGCATATTTCACTTGGTACCAACCATCCTAATGGGCCCCAAGACCACGCGAATCCTGCAACGTAAACGCATATGAGGGCAAGTATGATGTCTGCAATTCCTCCTTCTATCGTTCCTTGACCATTGACTCCAAATTCTTTCCATATCATGGATCCAACTGCAATCTAGGAACAAGGAACAAGCAACAAGCAACAACCAAAGAAGATGGTGTTAAAGGAGAAGAATATATATAAAGGATTATATCATATTTTAATCTTTTGAATTTAGTAGACTGTCTAACATGGTATTAAAATGGGAGGTTTTCTTAGTTGTAACTCCTCCAACGCCCTTTCCTGGATCCTTACCTATCAACTTGAATTTAACATAGAGATCGAGTACCTGGCAAATCATCATTTGGATGCCACCTTCAAGGAACAAAATCTTTCGGCCGAACTTGTCGACCGTGAAAATGGATACGAGCGTTGCAAGGACGTTAACGCCACCACTAATACAGGCGGAAAATAGTGCAGCATCATCACCAAAACCTAGAGTTTTATAGAGGACAGGTGCATAAAAGGTAATGACATTGATTCCAGTGAATTGCTGGAAGAATGGGATAAAGATGCAAATGAYAAGCTGAGGCCTGTATYTTGGTTGCAGGATGTTYTTCCATGGGTGCTCTACTTTCTTTGCAGCCTCACAGGCATCGACGAGATCTTGAAAYTCCTCGTCCACATTATCCATACCTCGAATCTTTTGTAACATTTTCTTAGCCTTCTCCATGTTGCCTCGCTCGAGGATGGAGTTGGGAGTGTCGGGTAGGAGTACCGCTCCGAGGCTCATCATTATTGCAGGAACAGCTGCAAGAGCTAGAGAAAGCCTCCAACCCCAACCGCCTTTGATTTTAGCGGTTCCATAGTTAATGAGATTTGCGGCGAAAATGCCTATGGTGATGGCCATTTGGAAGCCAATGTTTAGAGCTCCTCGAATCTTTGCCGGTGCCATTTCGGATAGATAGACRGGAACAGACTGATTGGCAAACCCAACACCAACACCGAGTAACAAACGACCGATGATTAACATTTCAACGTTGACAGCAGCCCCGTTTAAGATTGAGCCCAACAAAAACACAATACCCCCACTMAGCATTGAAATCTTTCTTCCATATGCCCTGGTTACYGAAGAWGCAAAGAAAGAAGCAAATAATGCTGCCAAGTATAGTGAAGATGTGAATAGTGTCAGTAGTTGGCTGTCAAACTTGCAGTACTGATTTTCSTCTCCTGCTTTTTTTTGTTCTTGTTCATAAACTGATGGGAAAAACTTCTTCAGGAATGGTGCCATTGARGTCACMCCTCCTGAAATTAAATACCAAAAACAAAAAGCCAAATCATTTCTCTTTTCTGAATGAATGTAATTCATTCACATGGAAAGAAAAATACGAAAACGAAAGAGAACCTGATATTCCGAGATCATATCCGAAGATGAGACCGCCCATAGCAGCAACCATACAAGTAACCAGAACAAAAGCAGTGATACCTCCCTCATGGACCTTACCCCCACTTTGAGAAACAAATCCACCTCCTGCCATCTTTTCTCCACTTTTTTTTCAATCTGATCTCGAGTAGAGTAGTGTCTTTTTTTATCACAAAAAAACCATTAATTTTTTTTTGAAAATTTTGACTGAAATACACAGAAAAATAAAAAAAAACAGAAAAGAAACTCCTTGTTTGTCAAGGATTAGATTTCATGATCTGCAAGGTTTGGCTCTTACACTTGAGCTTTATAAAGGGAATTGAAGTGGCTAATAATGGCTGCCTCACCCTTCAAAATTTCTGGATTAAAACTCGTAACAACTTTGACTCTCTTTTTTTATTGCCTCAAGAATTCTACTCAAGCAAACTTCTTGGTGTCTTTTTTATTTTTGTTTAAAACTCTGCCATGTAAATTTTAATTACCTCTAAAATTGGCAACCTTGACCTCCGTGGATCTCCCTTTACCATGGAGATTTTATATTTTTGGTCATGATTTAATACCCTTTTAATTTTTTCTTACCAATAAATGTATAATTTAGTCTATAATATTATGATGGGTGTCATGTTTCTACTTCGTACCAAGTGTTCTTTATTAAAATACACTTACAATACACTCGGGTGAAGTGTGAAGTGTCAAAGTATATTATATTAATTGAATCTGAAACAGCTTAATTAGGTTTAAATTTGATGAAATAGATATATTTGTCCATAAAATATGGAAACCTAACCTACCACCTCATAGTACATATAAGTCTAGTAGTTTGACCTAAATTGAAATGGCTTGTTATAAAACATATTTGTCTCCAACCGGTTAAGTTAAATTATAAGTTCAGTCTCTAAACTTTTAATGTTGTGTATAATAAATTCTTAAACTTTAAAAAGTAACTCATAGGATACTTAACTTTCAATTTTTTGTCTAATAGGTTTCTAAAGTTTAGAAGTGTCTACTAAGTCTCTACCTTTAATTATATTCCGTGTTTAATAAATCTTATCATGTTGATATTTTATAAAACCCATGGATCTTTAAGAAATAGAATTGAATTATTTGTTGTCAAAAGAGTCTAACTCAGTAGTAATTAGCATATAGGTTAGAAAAAAAACACGGAAGATACAATGACGGACAAGGTAAAAAGTTAATATCATATCATGTGGGTTTATTTTTTGTCAATTGTAATTTTCATCAAAAGAAATAAAATGAACTAAATTGAAAATTTTCAAACTCTCAAATAATAGAGATTAAAGTGAGAAAACACTAAAATATTAGCAACTAAGCCTGAGTAAAAATGTTCAATAGAACAAAAGAGGAAATACAATCTAAGAAAAGAAAAAGCCATTGGAGCTAGGAGTGCCCTAAAAATGTGGGTGAGTTGACTTATAGCATGGGCCAATCATCTGCGCAAAACGCTCTCATTTTCACATCCGAAAACTGTTTTCGGCCTCTTTCTTCCTCTATAAAATTTCACTTCTCATTGCCACTCTTCAATATTAACTCATACTCTTCAAATTTCTCCTCTCTTTTTTGAAGGTTGAAAACCAGAAAAATGGCAAGCTTTACTCTCCTCAAAACCCTTCCAAAGTTTTGTCATCTTGGTGCTGCAATTGCAAGGAGATCTACTGCCTCCAACCCTATCCTCCTTTTGCCTTCTAACCCTAAATTTATGCATGTAAGTATTCGCTACAATACTCCGTATTTACTCGATATTGTACTAGATTTTGAACAACAATTCAAATTTGTGTTCGTCTACGAAATGTTAAATTTGTATTTGTATCGAATAGAAAAACAGAATAAATATGAAAGTTTATGGCTCGTTTGGTATAGAAATTTTAGAAATAACCAAAACTACTTTTTCCTTCCTTGTTCTCATTTTCAATTTGTTTCAAAACATAAATAAAAAGATTGTTTTATCATACTTCAATTCTTAAAAGTTGGAATCATGCAATACATTTTTCTTCATTAAAAATAAAGAAACATAAACAAGAAATAGGAATATTACTAAACGAGTCCTTGGGGACTGGAATAAATTTTGAGAACTGACAGTAAAGAATAATGGGTGAGGAGGTAGAGAATTTTAAAAATTTAAAATATGTTGGGCTTTGTCGATTGATCAATCGGAATAATTATTACTGAGTTCTTAAACTTAGAGTACTACAATTCAAATAAGAAGGTAAATATTCAAGCTTCATTAAGAAAGAAGTTACTAATATCTCAAACAATTGAATGATATGCTAATTAAGTCGGTATTAGTTCTTAAGGATTAATAAACTACCACACATAATCCAAAAGCTTAAGTTTATGGGTTGAGTAAATTTTATTAATTTATATGGATTCTCAATACTCCCTCTCACTTGTGAGCTCTAATACCATCTTAAGTATGAATAAATCACCATTCAACTCAAAAGTTTTATTAATATTCATAAGATTTTATGTCAAAACCAATTGGCAATAAAAGGAATAGCTCATGTCTAATCTTAGTCGGATCTCATTTTTGGATTGGAGGCTCGTTTGAGCTGCTTGTTGGGCTCTAATACCATATTAATATTCATGGACAATGAGAGAAGTAACTTATGTCTATTATAAACCATTGTTAGGTCCTCTCTCTTTTCAACATGGGATCCTTAATATGCCCCCTCAAGATCGTGGCTCTTTTGGCTCATCGATCTTGGTCGGATCTCATTTTTGGATCAGTTGCTCGTTTGAGCGTTTTGAGCTCGATACCATCTTAAGGATGAATAAACCACCACTCAACCCAAAAGTTTAAGCTTATGGGTTGGGTAAATTTAATTCATTTATATGGATTCTCAACATTAGTGACCGTGGTTTGAGTTTTTACAATGTTATATTTTGGTGTTTAACAGACAGGTTCACCACAAGATGCCATCAACCCAGGAGCCCCAGAAGCCAAAGATGCCATAAACCCAGGAGCTAATGAAGCAATGATGCCTGGTGAAAGTATGATGACAGAGGCYTACTCTACTGCACAACATGTAATCTCTAACTCACAAATTTAACTTCACTTAATTTCACAAACTTATATACCATTAAAGAAATAATAGAAAGGAATAAGAAACTTATTATACCCACTTAATAACAAATTATTTTTATTTTTATTCTTAAAAATTTCAAATGAATTTGGTTATTTAAGCTTTGTTTGATAATGATTCTGGTTTAAGTTTTCTCTTTCTAAAAATTAAAACTTTGTCAAGTCACAATTTCTTGTTTTTCCTTTAAAAAAAAAACTATTGATTTATCTAAATTTCTGTCATGTAAACTTGTCCTTAAAACTTTTAAATCGTCTAATAGGTTCGAATCTTAAAAAGTGTTAAATAACTTTTAAATTTTAAAAACAAATATATAACATAKCTATGAAATTTGTCCCTGGAGATAGGGCAGTGTCAATRACGTTAAGGGCTTGTGGTATCACCTATTAGGTTTTGGATTCAAGTCMTGTGCTTGTTATTGTGTTGCTCAACCCRYGCAATGGGTCCTGATTACTTTAAAATTCTACCATGTCTCCCACAGTAAAATCAATTGTTTTTATTTTATGTAAAAACATAATTTGAAATCTTTTAAATTCACACCATAACAAACAACGGAATTCATTTAAAAATTGTTTGTAGGTGAGGGAAAAGGCAAGCGATATGGGAGGCATGGTGAYGAGTGAGATTTCAGAGAAGGCGAAGCAGACGATGGAAGCGGCGTGGGACTCCGCCCAGAGGGCAAAAGACACAGTGGTGGAGGCTACCAAAGAATCTAAGGAATTTGTCAAAGCAAACGCAGAATCTGTCAAGAAGAGCATGAACACCAAGAATCGTCCTTGAACTTTTATTTTACACACAATTTTTCTCATTCCAATATCCCCTCTTTTCCTGTCTTGGACACAGGTTTTGCCACAGGCATGTTTTACTTAATTTAAATAACCCTTTTCCAGGAGCTCATTTGGTCTTTTCACCATTTCAAGTGTCACCAAATTGACTTCTTCTTTCTCCTGTCTAAAAATATATTAAACTAGAGGGAAAGTCTAGCACCAAATGAATAGATTGAAAACAAGAATAGTAATTCGATGAACATGCGAAAATAAGGAAAAAATAGTTGAACTAAAAGGCACATATTTTCTTTTCGTAGGTGGCTAACAAACTACGACGATTGTTTTTTAGGATACAATGACTAACGCGATGGGGTCTCGTAGTTCAGAAGCTCGTGATGCCTTCGTAAACAAATTAGATATATAAATAAAATGAACTAAATACATAAATGTGTGTTGTCCTTCATATATTTTGTTGAGAAAAAAGAAATATAGATCAATTGATTAAATTTCTTTAGGAACTATTTGAATTTTCTGGAATCGATATGGGTGCAGTTAAAAACAAATAAGTAAGTAACAATAATATAAGGAAAAAAATTAGATAGGGATAGAAAAAGCTTAGCACCACATGAATTATAGTGGTTCGTCATAGTCAAGATATCACTATCCAATGACTATCTAACTGGCTTCTAAATATCCCACTACTAGAAAATTGGGTTTTCGTGACGTTCAAAATAAAAATCACGAAAGGCAAAAAATGCATTTTTGGAGGGAAAAAACTGAGATTTCCGGATATTTGACCTTTCGTGACGTTTTTTATCCATGTGGTCGTATTTTGATTGATTATGCAGTGACGTGTGAGTTGCGATGTGATTTGCAACTTCATGTAAGATTGTTAAAGAGAATGCAACCATATTACTAGAATGGTCATAAGCTGATCCTAAGTGTGTGGTATGAACTCCTGCAAATGTCATGCATGATTGTTCATCGTACCCAAAACAAGTCTTATTGTTGAGTTTGTAAAGAGTGTGAGTGCAAACAAAGTCTCACATTGGTTAGGGAATGAGGTGATCCATGGTATATAAGGGAGGACAATTTTCTCCATTGGTACGAGGTTTTTTTAGTAGAACCAAAAGCAAAGTCGTGAGGCTTATGTCCAAAACGAACAATATCGGTAACAAGCAAAGTCGTTCTTCTTATGAGTGTATATATAAGCTGGTTAAGGGCTTAGATAACAAGATATGCACCATTTTAATACCCTAAGAAGAATTCTTCGTTATGAGATCATGAATAATGACTATCCATTGAAGAACTAACAGGACTTAAAAGGAGTAAATTAAAGATGGCTCTAGGACAAAATGATAATTTCGTCTAATTGGAATCATAGATATCAAATTGTGAATGATAAATTGGACTATTATAATTATATTATGTACATAATTCATCTACGGTGCATGCAACACTTGGTCTATAATTAAGTCGCCTTAAGTTAATGGTATATAGAATTTACTTGATTAATAATTTACCATTAAGTTTTGGAAGTCCAATGGAACCTGAGTACTTGAATCTATAGAAGAGTTCGTGAATCCAAACCTATGAAATTGGGTAAACCAAGTAATTATATAAATTAAAAATGAATTTTTTACTTTTATAATTAATTTTGAGTTAAAAGAGCCCACCATAGTTTTGGCCTAAAGTTTGTATAAGCATAATTATAGGTCAACCCTAGAGTAATGTGATTGGAATGAACGTTGGTTCGCCCCAAGACTTGGATTGCTAAACCATTTAGAAATCAAATATTGGATGAGCATTATTTTTCTTTTAGAATTACAAAAACTAATAAAAAAATAGAATCCCAATCTTCTTTTCTTTACCCACTGCAACAAATCTTGATTTTAACGTCCGACAAAAAAAATCTCATTCTTTTCCTCACAATTTGTTGAATCTCCACAAAGCCTTCTGTGCTAAGACTTGAATAAAGATGGTAAGGTTTGTGGGAATCTTCTAAAAAGGAATCGTACGTGCTAGGAATTGGGAAGAGTTTGAGAAGGGAAATTTGTAGAGAAATTTATTAAGAGATTCTTAAATTTAGACCCATCGCAACAAATTTAGCTCATCATAGTGGATAAGAGATTTATGTCTATGTACTTATCTTACTACTTTATTCTTAAAACRGAAAATTGCTTTAGAAATAAAATAATAAAACAAAAACTTARACATGGACCTATTACCTTTTAAATGAAAGTTGAAGTTCAAATGATCTAGGATTTCAATATTTTATAGACATATGTAAGTGTTAATCTAAATTCCTAAAATACTAAAAGCAACGYGAAATAGGAGTATAACCCAGTTTGCATGATGGGGTGAGCATTGCACATGGTACATTAACCAGTTGCAGGTTCATTTTTAAGGTTAAGGCAGTAATAAGGGGTTGGTTTTCCAAATTCTGCTTTTCTCGTGTGTTTTAAGTGTTATTTTTAAAACATTCTCAACTTTTTACCCTACAACTGATTACGTACTCCAAACGATTTACAAACTTATTTAAAACAAACCAGGTTTTGTGGAGATCAACTTCGATTACTCCCAATTATCACTTGTCACTTATTATTCAACTGTTTTATCTATTTTAACAACTATTTAATTTCTTGGCTATGTTTAAAAATTCACTTATTAAATTCTAATATTTACAATTGTCTCATCCAAATCAAATTTGAGTCAATTGTTCAATTGGATTTGATAAACAAATTTGTTCAAATTTATTAATCAAATTTGTAGATGTGAGAATTTAATCTGTGCGTGAATGAAATAAAGAAAATAAATTAGAGATGCTAGTGCAGTCCACGGTCAAAGTTAGAAGCCTACTGTCATGGCATAGCAAGAATAAGTTCAAAGGAAAAAATAAAATCCAAAGTACGAGTTGGCTGGCATATTTTTCTTTCAATACCTTAATAAAAGGTTCACGAGTCGTAGTTTTTCTAATATGAACATAATTCAGCARTAATTGATATTTATTTTTTTTTTGGAGATCGGATGTTCAAACCCCGTACTTTCAATTATACTAAAAATAATCCACCTATATATAGGTATTGGGAATGAGAAGATGCAAACTTCCTTATTAAGAATACAAATTGGAAAAAGTGAATGGGCCTCCCTCTTTTAAAAAAAACACGTAAAATGAAGATTCGAGACTTTTATTTTTTTTATCAATGAATGATATATATCTTTAACTAATTAAATTATGTATAATAAAAAGTCTTTATAAATCCACTCTATAATAATTAATATTAAAAAGGAAAAAGGAAAAAAAAAAAAAAAAGTGTTCAGATCCAAGGCAACCAAATATTGCTCAGCTTGCACCAACTGCACATCCTTTATGAGATGGACTCTGACGCAGAAAAGATTTCCTCTTTTCTCTCTCTCCAAACCAAAGCCCCCATTTTATTTATTAAATTATTATTAGCCTAACTCATAAATACGAGCTTTTCAAACATGTGTTTGACGTTGATGCTGCAACTTAAAAGGAATTCTTTTTCCCTTTTCTCAAAATATATTTTTATTTCTACTTTTGAAAATTATAATATGGTAATTTGTAAAATTACTTTTTGCAACCATGTGACTTGGGAATGAAAATTGATTTTCTTTCTTTCCTAAAACGTGGCATAGCCACGAAAATATATATATATAGACACACAAACGTAGTTTTTGAAGTTAACCATTTGGATTTAATCTCAAAATAAGTATAGTTCAACGTTAATTGACATATATCTCAAACGAAGAGGTTGTGAACTCGTACGCCCCACATGTTGTATTAAAAAAATATATCATTTGGACTTAATTCTACTAAAAATTATCATAGAAAATAATTGTTATGCAACGAGAATCGATAGTCGAGCTACAAGTCACGATCGGAGGGGAGCCCACTGGGCCACGAAGGGCTCGGTCCCGACCCGGACTCGATCCCGACCCGTGCTCGGCCCACGGCCCAGCCAGCAAGTCCCCATCTTCGATCGACGATTTCGCCCAGGCCCTGCAACGGTGAATTAGGGTTAGCTACGGAAAGTGGAACTACTTCACGGCTATAAGTAGCGATCCAGCCTTAGAGGTAAGGGCATCTAAAAGTTGACCACATTTGCATTATTCTCTTGCTAACTTAGGCATCGGAGCCCGTGTAACTAGAGTCACACCGGTTTAGCTCTATTTGGTTTTGCAGGTTTAGTCCCGAATCATCAAGTTTGGTGCATGCGAGGAGGAGTACCGGAGGACCGAAATCCACACATTGTCGTTCCAAATTCGTGATTTTTTTATTAATACTATATATTTTGAATAGCTTCGAAATTAGTTCAACTCCATTGGGTTGACATGAAATAAATTGTTAAAATAAAAAATGACTATTACATGAAATATTATTAAAATATCAAGCATATAGCACATACGATGCTAGATGCTAAATTTTCGTAATAGTTACAATTACACTCGATCAAACCCCATAAATGAGCTCTCTTAACCTAAATCCAAGTTTAACTCAAAAAAATAAAGTAGCAACTTATTTTCAAAAAAAAGAAAAAAATAAAGTACCTACTTGATTCAGAACATTTTCAGTGACACGTCACATGACTTTTTGATTAATTATTTTATAGTTTTACAATTTTTTTAATTTATTTATACTATAATATTTTTTCTTCTAATAAAAATATATATTGATGTGATTTTATTATAAACATTACAATTTTTATTTAATTTATCAATTAATTATTTAATTTTACTTGCCAAAACGAGCATAGCTCGACGGTAATTGGTATATACCTCCTACAAAAAATATCAATAATAGAGGACTTATCTTCGAAAAAACGAGAATTTCTTTCAAGTCAAATATTCCAAAGTATAGCTCTTGAAGCACATCTCCAAACAAAAGTGGTCTTCTTAGGGAGAGTCCACCCAAAAAAAACCTCGTCCGTCCAGTCGTCGATCTTTTTAGGAAAGCATATAGAAATATCAAAAGAATCCAAGAGGAAAATCCAGCTCTTGGTCGCAACGAGGCAGTGCAAAAACATCTGGTCTAAGCTTTCACTAGGCATAAGACAAAAGGAGCACACCGAAGGGGATAAAACCCAATTTTTGCATTTTATCTGAAGCCTCTCATGGGTGTTAAGATACTAGTAGAAAAGTGCAAAGGGTGTTAAGATACTAGTAGAAAAGTGGTCTTCCATGACAGTTGTGAAAAGTAAAAAAATTTGGAGGAAAAAAAAAACTGTCATAAATGATGGAGGCGCGTTTTGGCGAGAAAAAATGCTATTTTTCGGATTTTGTAAGTTTTATGACAGTTAACTATCACGGAAATCGAATTTCCAATGACAGTGAAAAACTATCACGAAATGGTGGAGGCGTGATTTTGGTGGGAAAAAACGATGATCTACGAAATTTCCTTGTTTTATGACATTTTATATATAATTGTCAAGAAAACTAAAAAAATTTCAAGTATTCCGTGACAGTTACCTAGACCCATTTCAAGTATTCCGTGACAGTTATCTAAACCATCTTGAAAATCTATAACATACAAAATGTGTCACAAATGATTTTGAGCGCATTTCATTTGAGTCGGCAGTTTTATGGATGATATTAATTATTTCGGGATTCTTCGGTCGTATCGAGTATAGATTTATGGCTTATCGAGTATAGTTTCACTAGGCATTCCTAAATAAAATATTCATATTTAAATTATACCCTGAATTTTTTTTAATTGGAACGAAATGTAGTCAACTCAATCGACTACTTAGGAATTCATTTTGGTTTAAATTGGAACTAGTTAGGTTCATGAACCTTTAAATTTTTTATAACATAAAATTTTGAATTTTAGATAAATTTTTTTAATTAAATCTTAGTTTTGAAATTTTTTTTTCATAAGATTCTTGCCCAAAGACTTTCTTTAATAGTCCTTGTACTTTCAATATTTGTTTTGGTCTATGTACTTTAATAGAAACTTATTGATATAAAGTCATTGTCACATTTCAAGAAATATATAGAGTGTACTTGTTGAAATTGTGATAGAAAAATAAGATTAAAAATAACGTAAATAGACAACAAATGAGCACCTTTAGAAACAAACCAAACTTAAAATTATAAGGACCCAAATAGCACCTATTAACTTGTAATTAACTAGAAATAAGAAATAGATATTATAGTAATTGCTTTATATCTAATTCCTATTTCGATTTTTGACATTTTTAAGTAAACTATATTAATTGGTTTCTAATTTCGATTTCAAAAAATTTATTGTAAACAACATCAAAATAACTAACGTACTCATCCTCCATACAATGCACTCAGTCAACTTTGCATTAAATATCGTCGTCCTTGCCCCACTATCTCTCACCCCTTTCTCTCACTTTGTATCGACTTTGCTTCCAATATGTGCGAAGATGGTTTATATTCCTATCCAAAAACAGCTAGCATTATTTTAATCTATATAGTCTCAAAATATATATTTTGGTACTGTTACTTTTGTAAAAAATAATAATTTTCATCCATATTTATAAAGATTTAAACATAAAATTTATATACAATAAAAATTCTTTAATACAAATTTATGACTATATTTCACTAAATTTTGTGTTTAAAACGTCATGCTAAATTTATGATCGAAATGAAAATGAAAATTGTCACTTTAAAATACAAGAATCAAAACATAACATTTTGGTAGTAATGACAAAAATCAATAGCGGATCCAGAATTTTGTGTCATAAGGGCACAAATTGCTGCTAAACATCGTGAAAAACTATCAATTATTTTAAACTTGAAGTTAACAATTTTTATCAATTTGCACATTACAATTTGGATAATTTGGATAAATGTTGCAACCTTCATAAACTTTTAAAAAGTGTTACAAATTTTATTACCACATGATAAATTTTTATTTTGAAAATTTTCTTTAAAGAAATAATTGTCATATATTTGTGTCAACAATGAATTAGAAAAAACATTCGAGAGGCATGAAATTGATAGAATTTAGAAAAAAAATAATATTAAAATTAATTTTTTAACTTAAATTTATAAATTTTGGCAGAATTATTCCTAAATTTTATACATTAACGAAATTTAATCGATAAAATATATTTCTTTCTTTTTTGCAAAAATATAATTAAGACAACAAACCTACATAGAATTTGGGACTTGGTCAACAAGAGGGTATTCGTCCAAATTCAAAATTGAAGGATAAAAATAATATTTAATTATAGGTTAAAATACTATTTTAGTCTCGATACTTTTAGCCTCAGTTCATTTACTCCTTGTACTTTGAAAATGTTCATTTTGGTCCCTATATTTTTAACTTTGGTTCATTTTTAGTCCATGTATTTTGAAAATGTTCGTTTTGATCTCTGTACTTTTAAAAAGTGATAATTTTAGTCCATCTTCATAATATTTTAACACAAATTCACATGACGGAAACAATTTAGTATAAAGTAATGTTTACATTGTAAGAAATATATTAATTATAATGTGGTGTTGTAATTGCAATAGAAAAAATGAAATTTAAAGTAAAATGAAATGATCAAAATAGTCGATATTTAAAAATATAGGACCAAAATAAACAATTTCAAAATACAGGATCAAAATAAATATTTTAAATGTATAATAGCTAAAATAAATCAGAACTCAGAGACCAAACTATATATTTTAACTTGAATTATAATTAGCGTGTTGAGAAAGCAGAGAGAGAAAGAGAATGGTGGGGAAATAAAAAAAAGATAGAAAAATAGAAAGAAACAGAGGAGAACCGACAGTTTCTCCTTTTTCTTAGAATATAATTTACCAAATTGAGAAAGATGAGTTTCCACACTCCAACCTTAACCGCTAAGCTATCATCCGAATTCCCATTTCCCATCCCCTCTCTCTCTCCCATTCTCTATAAATTCATTCCCCAAATTTCTTCCACGTCCTTCTCACAGATAACTGAGAATCACAATTCCAATTCCATTTCCAATTCACAACCGAACCGACAGCGACAGCGACATCGATATCAAAAACAATAACACAAACCAAAAATACCTTCGAGACGACACACACAGCAATTGAGGAACAATCGGCGGATCGGTGCTTGTTATTGTTATGGGGAACGGCGAGGGAAACTACGGCGGCGGCTGGGCGGCGGTGGACTTCTCCGCCCTGCCGGAGGGGTGCATCGCCCACATACTCTCCTTCACCACCCCTCACGACGTCTGCCGCTCGGCCTTGGTTTCGTCCGCCTTCCGTGCCGCGGCGGAGGCGGACGGCGTTTGGGACCGCTTCCTCCCGCCAGAGTACCGCCGTGAAATATCCGACGCCGTCTCGCACATTTTTCCTTCCTTCGCCTCCAAGAAGGAGCTCTTCCTCCACCTCTGCCGCTACCCCATCCTCATCCACGGCGGCGCTAAGGTCCGTTATCTCCCATATCCCCCACCGCCATTCCATTATTCCATTATTCTAATTTCATTAAAATAATAATAATAATAATAATCTCATTTGTATTTATGGGTTTCTTTTTCCTTTCAATTTATTGTTAATTTCAGAGCTTTTCACTGGACAAAAGGACAGGGAAGAAATGCTTCATGATCTCTCCAAGACAACTTTCCATTGTTTGGGGCGATGCTCCTAGGTATTGGAGGTGGACCTCTCCTCCTGAAGCCAGGTAATTAATTTCTCTCTCTAATTCCTTTAATTGATGCGATAATTAGATCATGTCAAAATCATTTTATGTTTGTGATGTTTACTGAAAATCAAGTTGACTTTGAAAAATCAGATAATAAATATCTTTTTTCAATCTGAAACACACCCAAAATTAATGGGTTTATTACAATATACTAATTAATTTTTAGTGTAGTATATTTGAAGTGAAATAGTTGAATTTCCATAACCATTTCTAAACTACTCCTTCAGAATCAGATTATCAATGTAGGGAGTTTAGTAATTTACAATAATTTTTTTAGTAGTATATATTTCTAAAGTTGTGTTGGTTAGACAAAACTTTAGGAAAAATGTTTTTATATTTTAATTTTCTAAAAGCACTTTTTACCATTTCAAAAGTAGGTTTGGGGAGGTAGCGGAGCTAGTGAGCGTGTGTTGGCTGGAGGTGCGGGGTAAGATTGAGACGGGGATGCTGTCTCGTGGCACATTATATACAGCCTATCTGGTGTTCAAGCCCACAACCTCCAACTACGGCTTCCAGCACCAGCCCGTCGAGGTCGGTGTCGGCCTCGTCGGGACCGAAACCCCCAAGCAAGATGTGTATTTAGATGTTGTAGAAAGAGATCAGTGGCGGCGGCGCCACCAGATCATGTCGAGGGGCTTCGGCCTCTTCAACCTCAGCAGACGCCGCATCATCGGGACACAAGAACCTGCAATGTCCCGTGAGGTCACCACCAGGAACGATGCTGATGCAGCCACTGCGGAGGGCTACCGTCGCCGGGTCGCCGAAGAGAGGGGGGACGGGTGGCTGGAGGTTCAGCTCGGCGAGTTCTTCCACGACGGGGCCGAGGGGGAGCTGGAGATGAGTGTCTCAGAGGTGAAGGGTGGGCATTGGAAGGGTGGTCTACTAATCCAGGGAGTGGAAATCAGGCCAAAAGCCTTGAAAACCTGATGATGCCAATATGAACAAAAATAAATAACAAAACAAAACTTTCTATTTTTTACTGCAAATGGTGCTTAATAGTTAATATTCAGAATTGAAGATAAAGTAGTAAAGCCCGTATGTAAATTTTTAGAGTGTTTGTCTTGGGATTTTGAGGCTGTTTATGTATCAGCTTATAGTGAGAAATGGTGACCAAATTAGAGAGATGGTAAGATGAATAGATTTTAGAGATCTGTTTGGTAATGCCTTCTCTCTTCTTCTCTTCTGTGTTAAGTATATGGCTCTGCTTTTTACAGTTGTAAATATGGATTATTTGGGAATGTAACTTTTTGCATGTATGATCATGATGATGCCAAAGTTTTCAGATTTCGTGTCCCACAAGAAATGATTGATGTTAGGGTCGGTTTGTTTTCATCTATTTTCGAGGTACGGGATATTAGATATCTACAATTATTACATGTCGGGCTATATTTATAACTATGTTTGTTTTTCAAGATTTATATAATATATTAAAATTAGATCATATAATTTATGTTAAAACAAATGAAAGATTGTACCTTACCTTTCAATTGAAAATAAATTAAGATGATATTATACTGTTACGACTACAATTAATGCAACATATACATATAATTGTAGTTAGTCATATTAGTGAATTAATGTATTACTTTATTTTTAAAATAAAATTAAAATGAGAATTAAAGAAAATTGAGGAAATAAAATATATATAAAATAAAAATGACAAAAGATAAAATTGTTATCAACTAAAAATCTATGTTACACGTCCAAAATTGCTTAGATGTCTCGTATGGGATCTTAGGATGTCTATACATCTAAAAAAAATGAAATATTTGGTTTCTTATCGGTGATCAAATCTTGTTCTCATCACTAATCATTGAAAATTTGATGACTCATTTTTAAAAAATTATATTTTTACATTTTTCTTATTTTTAGTTGTCGAACATTTAATGGCAGTAAAAACAAGATTGGTCACAATCGTAAGAAGACAAGTATTTTCAATCTAACAAGGTCTGAATATTTAACATTAATTATACTATCAATAATCAAATATAGGAATCTACTTGTTCAATTCTCTGTCTATCTCAGATTTCCACCAAACGTACAACCACTCAATAATGGTGAAGTTATTAGTGGGGAGTGTGATTTCTTCCATTGCATTGGGAGAGGTTCTTTTTTCCTGAAATACAAAGAAAATGGAATTTGAGGACCTCTTTAGTACCGTTTCTATTTCTTGTTTCTCATTTTCAATTTTATTAAGAAAGTTAAGTATTTTGCAACTAATTACGTTAAAAATGAAAAAACAGAAATGGAATATATAATTGGTAACGTTTCCCATTAACAAGTATGTATATTATTATAAAGACATGCATATCACAAATATGCGATATATAATTTACGTTATCTATAAAGTAATTGTTTCAGAATAGTAATCAAATAAGATAAAACAAAAGATGAAACATATATAATTTTTGCATTTTCTTACCATTTGTATATTGCTGTGTTCAACTCTTACCATTTTAAGTTTCCTAGTAAATTTTATTAAAGTAGCACCTCAACTCACTCAAACCATTTTCAAAAGATTTAAATTAATAGTAAATAATTGTCGGTAGAACGATACATATCGTTATGACTAATATATAGATTCAAGAATGAAGTTTAAATAGGTAAATACAGAAGTTTTCTCTCTCCTCCAAATCGGTAAAATAATAAATATAATATATTAATAACTACTCTTTCCGTTTTTTTTAGTTCAACAATATTGTGGGATGAAAATTCAAACCTAGCTCTGACTTTTTTGGTATCTCCTTATTTTTATGTTTATTTTGTATTTACATATTGTTTGGATTTTTTATTTTGATATATGCAATTTCAATTTTATTAAGTTACAGAGTTAATTGAATATAAAAATTTTAAATAAAATTTCAATTTTTTTATACTGCACCAACCTTTGGGCTTTAGTGTAATTTGACAGAACAGTATTATCACGTGATTAACTAATAATGACTATATTTGAGGATTATAGAAGTTGCAGTTATATTTATAAAAAAAAAATCTCCATAAAAACGACTATTTATGTAAATACCCAAATATTTTGGTTGGTTGGGTCTATCATGTTACTAATTTAATACAATATCTTAATTTCTTTTAAACTGTTTTATACAAATTTAAGCTCCCCCACCTAAAGTTCTCGATTCGCACTGTGCTAGGAAAAAATGATACTAATATCAGATTGGGTAAATATACAAGTTAATCTCTTAGTGTTTAACTATTTTTTTTTCAATTTATTTTCCATTGTTTACAAATTTTTAATTTAGTCCATGTATTTTTTAATTTAATCTCTTACCATTGATAAATATTAAAATTGTTTGTTGATAAATTTACACAAATAAACATAAATTTAAAAGATGAAAGAAATTGGAAATTTTAGAATTATTCCTCTAACTTTTAAGAATTTATTTAAAACTTCAAATTTTATTATTTCCATGATATTTTTTTTCTCCTTTAAATTCTCGTCATTATTATGCCTTATAAGTTTATTATTAACAAATTTTAACGAAAATTAAATTAAAAAATTTTACCAAGTATAGCTCAACGTAATTGCCATATATCTCAAATCAGGAGGTTGTAAGTTTATCCTCGCCCGTTGTTGTACTAACAAAAATAACGAAAATTAAATTAAAAAATATTAAAACATAACGAATTAAATTGAATTTTCTTATAACTAAATTGAATTAATTCTTAAAAGCCAAATTAGTGAGGGTGATATAAAAGTCGCAGTTATCTTGACTTACTGTATATGAAATGACGCATATGCCCCCAAATGCCTAACTAATTCACACCGTACCTCCTCTCAACTGTACTCTCGCACTACGTCTCTCTCATACTCCTCGGCTCTCGCCGTCGCCTTATCGCCGCCGCCGCCGCCGCCGCCGCCGTCGTGTCGCAGCTTCTCGTCCTCCTCAGGTATCTATCTTCCTATCTCTAATCTTCTTATCCTGTCAACCGACGTTAATTCCCGTTTCAATTCCCAAATTTCTTTATCATCTATGTGTTCTCTAGGAGAACCCAAATTGTTGCCCCGATCTCTGTTTTGAGGGAATTTATTTTGCTCTTCTTCTTGTTTTTCACAGTTATTTTCTCTCTGAACTGTTAATTTTGCTTTATATAAATTGTTGATTTTATTTTGACAGTGTTAATTATCCTAAAAAAGGCATTCCGACGTTAGAAGGAATTGGACTACTGCCGTATGTTTTAGAAGGTGTTGAATTCTGCGTGCAAATCTACTGTTTAGCTTTCTGGTAAGTTGTATTTACTTCATTTTGCGAGTTTTGCATTTTGGGATCTGTTTGAATGACAGAGAAAGTAAACTAGACCATTTTCAACATACTTTTGGACCCTTAAATGGAGAAACATTGCATCATCATTTAGTAACTTACGCATTCCTAGTGAGGGCTATACAGGCTGGCTGTTGTTAAATTTGCCCTATTTTTGCATCTCAATGCTACAAATTGAAGTTCAAATTGTTCCTTTTTTTTTTTCTTAATCCCATTTTTGTGATCTTTCTACTTTCCTCATTAACTCTGAGCAGAGGGTATTCTTATAATCCCTTATCTGGAGGCAGTGCTGATGTCTTTCCACTGGACCCCCTGCGTTTGAAACCCTTTTCCTTTAAATTTATGTTCTTCTGCTTCTTATCCAGGCGCACACATACACAAATACAACAACAAATGGGAGTTATTTTTCTTGTAAATTTGTTATGGTTAGGAAATAATTTTAATACAAAACCGAGGGGCTGAAATTCATGCTGCAGCTGCTGAGAATTGTTTCTGTAATAATGAACAAAGAAATTAGTGAGGTCCTGAAGGGGCAAAACTTTAGCATTGAAGACTGATAGGAACTAGGAAGGCTATTAAATATTAAGGTTTATTAACAAAAAATTTAATCCTCAGTTTGTTACTTGTGTCTGAATTTTCAACTTGGATTAGAAGAACTTGTTATCATACTTTGTGAACTTATTGAAGGCCATGAAGCCAATTTTATGCTCTACCTCGTATACTTATTTGTATCTTTTTGATCGGAGACAATACCATATCATTTAGAGAAAATGAAACAGAAAACAAAAGGAAGACGACGAGGCATGAACCTAAAAAGATAGCCAAAGGGATAGCAAAACACTCGTCAGTTAACATTGATTAAAAAACCATTATTTAGAAAGTATAGAGAAAAAGACTGCAGAAAGATCTCATCCTCCATACAAACTTGTTCTTGTTCTTGAGGAGACATCTGTCGCACCATTTGACAATGGATAAAATTTAAAAAGGTTGCTTTGGGCCACATTTTGTTAAGAATAGTAGTTCGATTAGTTAAATGAGCGAAAGTAAGCTTCTATTGTAGATACCATGGCTTTGGGGATTTCAATGATTTGGTTTCCGACTCTTAATAAGAGTGATAAAAAACTGAGATAGTTGGGCTGATTCGTCCGTCACTTCCAAGTTACAGATATTAACCTCCTAATTCTAGCTCTATGAAATTGAAGCCTTTTTTTTTTTGTTTGCTTGGAAGCTTTCTTCCAGTCAACAAAATGACATTCTGAATCAATGATTTCCCTAGACTAGAGGAAGTCTCTTATTCTCTTTTTTAGAATCTAGCCACTTTAATTAGCGGTTTAAACGAAGACAAAAACATGAAGTAGATGGCACTAGATAAAATAGAGTGAAACCACGTAAGCTTTCCAACTTTTGTGAAAATAACATTCCACCGCGGTTTCTATCAGAAAAAATTAAAAATAATAATAACATTCCTCCATTTGTTAAGTCTCCTAAATGCTTTCAAAAACTTGTCTCTAAGTAGCCGTTCAATATATTTGCTTGGGAGACAATTTCACGTTGGTCAATAATTATTATTTATGTTTCCCAAAATAGCCTTTCTTATGTTGATCATGATATTAGCTGATGTTTTCAAAGACTTCAAGATGGCTAAGATACTGTCCAACTCCTCATATAGTCGTATGCCAACGTGTCACGGTCTACAAAAGACATCCATCACCAAAGCAAACCACAAAAAAAAAAAAAGAAAAGAAAAGGAACACCAAATGATCCTTCGTTATAGTTTGCCATTGATCAATTTGTGAACATAGTATTTTAAATAAAATTATAGGTCCAATCTGACAATTTCAATCAAAGCCTTTCTTACTCATCACCAAATGAAGAAAGTTGCCATCAACTGTGTCATAGTTTTTCCTAAATCAATTTCTATGATCTAAGTCCTCCTCTGAGGGGTAGGGTTCGCTTTTTAGATTCCGGATGACACACACTATCTCTCTTGACCCTCCCCATCCCTGTCTACTTTCACCCCTCCCCCCTCAACCCCCCTTCCTCAGCCCCCTCCCTCTGCCCCAATATCCTCCCTCAGTTCTGTTAGCTATCTTTCTTGGCCTTTCTCTGATGGGGTGGAACTATAGAAAGCACTCCATTATATTTGACAAATAGTCTTTCTCCATTGTGGTGGATCATAAATATAGGGTCCTTCTAGGATCATTGAATATTATTTTTTGATAAGAAACGAGAATATATTAAGAACAAAAAAGGATTATTGAATATGGACATAACTTTTTCTCCCTGGTTCCATATGTTAGAGTTGTTTTCAAACTTAGAACAAAGAACAAGAAGGATACTGTAGTCATGCTTGATTCAATAAAAGCTTCTGACAAGATTGATTGGGATTTCTTAGATGCAATCCTCCAAGCCAAACTTTCCAACCAAAAATCGAAAATTGGGTACATGCTTGTTTCTCTGATACAAATTTCTCTATTATTTTCAGTGGCAAACCTCAAGGTGAAATTCAAGCTACTACAAGAGACATACGACAAGTAGGCCCTCTTTTCCCTTTCTTCTTCATCATTGTGGTAGATTGCCACAGTGGTCTTCTCACACAAAGCTCATTTTTTACCTTTAAAAGGATTTAACTTGGGATCTGTCAATCACCTTCAATTTGCCAATGATCATTTTTTTTCACACTTCTGATGAGGGCTTCATGTGAATTCTCTTTAATATTATCCAGATCTTGATAAATGATAAAACATCAAGTCTCAATATCAGTCACAATAAGACTGAGATTATGGAGATTGATGTTGTTAAAATTCACGAATTGCAACTCTTGTTTTACTCTTTGAGGCCCCAACTCATATTTGGTGCTACATTGTAATGGGAAACATTGATCCTTTTCCTTTTGCTTCTGTTATGGAGCGCATAGGAGACCAGCTTCAAAAGTGACTATTATTCTAACTATTTTATCCAATCTACCATCCTACTGTATGGCTCTCTTTACATTACATTGTTGGTTAGAGTGACCAAGGCTATTGAGATATTGATCAAATGGGAAGATTTAGAGAATTGCACATCATGGGAGTTACTGGATACCATACCAGAACATTCTTCTATCACTAATTGTTTTAGGAAGAAGCATTGTTGTGCCCCTTCAAGTGATTGGACATTCTTCTGTGATATGGTCTGTGAGTTTCGGAGGAAATTGGAAGTTAAAGATGGTAGGAAAGGAGATGCTAGGGTTTTACCTTTCCGTTCCTTTTAGGAATGTGATGACAACTTTTTTTGAGTGGTTAGTTACAAAAAAAGATACTGAAAGGGGACCAAAAAGGAAAATGGATCGAGGAAAAAGCGGATTCTACTGAAATTGAATTTGGTCGAAGCTAAAATTTTGGGTTTCTTTAAAAAGCTATATTGCAGCACAAGTATTCCTCGTTTTCCTCCATTATGAATTAGTTGGAGACCCATTTCAACTGTAGTCAGTAAAAAAATTGAAAGGAAGTTTGAGAAGGTGGACATTCTATCAGCATTGAAGAATCTTGGCAAGAACAAAGCTCCTGCCCAGAAGTAATTTATTGCAGATTCTAAATGGTCCTCTCATCTCTTCAAGGCTATTTTGTCCGAGATTTAGTTCGAAAGAAACTAGAGAATATTTAAAGAGAAAGAGTAAATATTGGCTTGAATTTTTTGAGGTAGCTAAGTTTATGGCCTGTCAGTGGTGCTCGCTTTCTAATTTATTTGTGAATTACTCTTGTAGCTCCATTTGTGTATCTTGGGATGCTCTCTCTCTCTCTTTTATTTATTAATAAGAAACCGCGCTTTCATTGAGAAAAATGAAAAGAGTAACAAGGAGAACAAAAAAGGGCCTATAAAAAAATAGCCCGAAGAGAGGACGCCTCGGCTCCAATCCAAAAGATGAGATGCTTTTATTACTCATTAGTTTCCTTTTTTTTTTCTTTTTTTTT